ATCTATTCTAATTTTGAAGTATATGGTATATTTTAGGTATTTACTAGAATAGCAAGTGAAAGGAAACTTCATAATTACAGTAGATTTTGATATTACAACTAAAAGGGCTTGATTTAAAACAAAAACCTGGATTGGGGAGCCACAGGAGGCATAGTTCAATCATTTCCTGGCCATGAAATATGTGCGAAATGTTACCTTGATGATTCTTGTCCATCTGTGAACTTTCGTCTTAAGATATGACCCTATTCCCATGAAGCTTACAGTCTGTCCATCTGTGAACTTTACCATCTTCATTTTTATGTTCTTAGTGCCAGTCTAAGGAGCTCTGGTAGTATAGTGGTTATGAATTGAGCTACGAACCTCAAGGTTAGCAGTTCAAAACTACTAGCTGTTCCATGGGAGAAAGATGAGGCTTTCTGCTCCCGTAAAGGTTTACAGTCTCAGAAACCCTGTACAGGGTTGCTAAGAGTCGGAACCGACTCCATGGCATATCACCAATCAACCAACCAACCAGTTGTTCGTACATGGTAAATGACTAATCAGTGTAGGCTGGATAAATAAATGAATTCAGAATTAACTTTTATGTCTCTACATTTTCTAGCCTTTAAAATGGGAGTATTAGTATCTTTCTAGAAGATTAAATGTGGTAATAGATGTGAAAGCATTTTCTAAAGTTCTGAGTATTCAAAGTAGAATCAACCTTAATGATTTGAGTGGACTAAAGCTTCTGGAATCTTCATTTGTTGATGTGGCATGATTCAGCATTAGATGAAATTGTAAAGTCTGAATCAGGGAAAATTGGAAGTTGTAAAAATGAAATGGAACATTTAACAATAGATAGCCTAGATACTGTTATCATTGTTGTTGTTATGTGCTGTTGAGTCATTTCTGACTCATGGCAACCCTGTATAGGGTCTCCAAGGAGCAGCTGGCAGGTTTGAACTGCTGACCTCATGGTTCATAGTCCAGTGCTGATCCTACAGAGCCACACCAGGTGTTCTGGCATTAGTGAGCTAAAATGGGTTAGTATTGGCCATTTTGAATCAAACAATTATGTGACCTAATATGACAAACTGAAGAGGAATGGTGTCTCATTCATATCTCAACAGCATGAAGTAAATGCTGTTTGTGATAGGATAATATCCATATATCTGCAAGGAGAACCACTTAATACCAACTATTATTCAAACTTAAGCACCAACCGCTAATGCCAAAGAAAAAGAAATAGAAGATTTTTACCAAACTCTCAATCTGAAATTAAACATACATAAAGATGCATTGATAATTAGAGGTGCATTGATAATTGGAATCTGAAAATGGGAAACAAGAAGGATTGGTAGTTCGAAAATATGGCCTTGGTGACAGCAACGACAGCAGATATCACATAATAAGATTTTTAAAAAGTTTTTATTGTGAATTGACTGACCATTTACATGGGAGAACATTGGTTTTAACACTTATCATATCGTATTTCATTTCATTGCAATGATTACAATCCCCTCCATGCACCAGTAGTTAACAGTATTTGCCTCTGCTCCCTCTTTTTTTTTTTTTTTTTGTACACAGAAACACTCAGGGATATATAATCATTTAAACAACCAAAGGGCACATTCTGGCCACCAGTACATAGCCTTTCTCTTTCCATGAATCTAGAGTCCTCAGCGTCATCATCTCTGCCTCCATCTCTGGTGTTGCTGCTTCTCTGGATAGGGTCTCACATTCTGCTCGTGCTCTTTTCCCTTGATGGTCCTAGGGTCCTTTGTTCCTGGGATGTAAGATTAACTACTCACCCCTTTATCACATAATAGAATTTTGTAAGACCAACAACTCATTCATTGAAAATACCCTTTTTCAACAACATAAATGGTAACTATACAGTGGAATTTACTACATCTGTGGAAAAAGATGATGGAGAAGCTCAATATCATTAATAAGAACAAAGTTGGGGTCTGACTATGAAACAGACCATCAGTTCTCATATGCAAGTTCAGGCTAAAGCTGAAGAAAATGAAAACATGTCTACAAGAGCCAAAGTATAGCCTTGAGAATATCACAAGAGAGTTTCAATTTTAGAGAGCATTTCAAGAAAAGATTAGAGGCATTGAACACTAATGACTGAAGAACAGAGTAATTGTGGGATGACATCAAGTACCTCTTACATGAAGAAAGCAAAAGGTCATTGAAAAGACTGGGGAAGTGGGGCATCAGGGGGAAGAGTAAAATGAATGTCATAAGAGACTCGGCAACTTGCTTTTGAATGTAAAGTAGCTAAAGCAAATGGAAGTAAGGATGAAGTAAAATAATTGAACAGAGGATTCCAAAGGGTGATTGATAATAAAGTATTATCATGAAATGTATAAAGACCTGGACTTAGTCAATTAAAAAAGAGAAGAATATGCTTGGTATTTCTCAAGCTCAAAGAACTGAAGAAAAAAGTCAAACCTTGAGTTGCGATACTGAGATACTCTATGGGCAAAAAATTGAATGACACAGGAAACATCAAAAGAAGATAGATGGAATAAAAAGAGTCACTCACTATATATCAAAAAGAATTGGCTGATATTTCAGCCTTTTCAGGAGGTATCATATGCTCAAGAACCAATGGTTTCAAAGGAAGAAGTCCAAGCTACACTGAAGACATTGATGAGAAATAAGGCTGCAGAAATGGACACAATACCAATACCAATTGAGATGTTTCAACAAACTAATACAGTGCTGGAAGAACCCACTTATGTATGCCAAGAAATTTGGAAGACAGCTGCTTGATAATTGACGGGGAAGAGATATCAATCATGCCCACCCCAAAGAAAGGCAATCTAACAGAATGTGGAAATTATCAAACAATTTTAGTAATAACATTTTGAGATATAAAAGAGATTAACAAGCAAGTGGAAGAAGCAGAGATGAGGGATGAAACCTACCAATCCACATGAGGACTGCCCAGAAACAGAAGCTCAGAAGTGGCAGGCTCTTCCCCCAGAGCTGGTACCCTGACTTCAGACTTCTAGCCTCCTAAACTGTGAGGAAATAAATACCTGTTTGTTAAAGCCATCTGTCTGTAGTATTTCTGTTATAGCATCACTGGACATAATTTAGTACTGATCGACTGGGGAACAGCTATAACACATACCTAAAATGTAGACGCAGCTTTGGAATTCAGTAATGGATAGAAGCTGAAAGATGTTTAAGGTGCCGGATAGTAAAAGACAGTTGGCTGTATGGATCTTCACAAATTATGTATAACATAGAAAACTATGAGAATTCCAGAACATTTCACTGTGCTCATGCAGCACCTGTACCTAGAGCAGGAGGTAGTCATTAAAACAACAAGGGGATACTTCATGATTTAACATCAGGAAAGGTGTATGTTGGGGTTGTTTCACCATAATTATTTAATTACTATGCTGGACTATATGAAGAAGAATATGCATCAGGATTAGAGGAAGACTTAGTAACAACCTACAGTATGCAACTTTGCTTGCTGAAAGAGGACTGAAGGATTTACTGATGAAGATCAAAGATTGCAGCCTTTAGTTTGTGTCTCAACACAAAAACAGAACTCACCACTGGACCAATAAGGAATGCAATGATAAATGGAGAAAACGCTGAAGTTGTGAAGAATTTCATATTACTTGGATCTGCAATCAATGCCCATGGAAGCAGCAATTAAGAAATCAAACAATAAATTGCATATATATAGGAGCTCTGGTAGCGTAGTGGTTACGAATCGGGCTGCGAACCTTAAGGTCAGCGGTTCGAAACTACCAGCCGCTCCGCGGGAGAAAGATGAGGCTTTCTACTCCCGTAAAGATTTACACCCTCGGAAACCCTGTACAGGGTCGCTATGGGTCGGACCCGACTCGATGGCACTTAACAACAACAACAACAACAATATATAGTATAATTACAGAGGGTCATTCCAGCAGTGAATTAAATGAGTCCTGGTGCCATCATGGTTAAACTCTTGACTGCTAACCAAAAGGTTGGTTGTTCAAACCTATCAGCCATGCTTAGGGAGAAGGATGTGGCAGTCTGGTTCAGTAAAGATTTATTGTTGGTGTTAAGTGCTGTTGAATTGGTTCTACCTCATAGTGACCTTGTATAGAGCTTCTGAAGAGGGGCTGATGGGTTTGAACTGCCGACCTTGCGGTTCAAACTGACCTTGCAGACCAGTACATTATCCTACAGTGCCATACCAGGACTACAGTAAAGATTTACAGCTTTGGGAATCCTATGGGCCAATTCTACTCTGTCTTATGGGGTCAGAACCAATTGATGGCAGTGGGTTAGAAACTGAGCATCTTTCTAACATAACAGAATTGAAAAATGTTTTTTTACTCCAAAGACTTCATCTTTGAATAGAAAATAGCATCAGTGAGCTGATTTTGATTTTCCTCTCTGAATTCAGATCACTTAAAAGATAAATGAAAACATTCCACAAGAGAGTTGTTTTTACTATTAGTTTTTTTCTATTTTATTACATTATTGTGTCGTTTTAGAACTTGTTTGAATAAACATGACTTTGACTCCGTTTTTTTTTAAAAGCATTTCTTCTGTTAACTTTTTCCTGTGTGGTTCATTGTATAGTAGACACAGCTTCCTCCTGTAAGCTCTTCCTGCCAAAATATTCTAACATTGATATCAAAAGATTTGCTGTTTGCTTGTTAACAGAACAGTATAAGTTCTTCTTAAAAGTTCAATAATTTCTTTTGAATAGAATTAGAAGCAGACAGATGTTCCCATTGTAGCTATTTATCAAATAGGATTTGAAAAGCAAGAACACCAAAGGTTCATGCAAAGATACTTTGCTTACAGTTTTGATTTGTTGTATGTACAGATAAGTTTGCTCCTGAAAGAGGAATAGAGAACTGGACAAATTACTAAAGATTACTGATTAGCAAAACAGATAAAGTATCTGCATGATGCAGTGTGTTTGATCGTTTTATTTTATATGTAAAATATGAATTATAAAAAGTAGGCTTTTTTTTTTTTTTCTTTAGATGGGTAGCCTATGAGAATCCTGACTTTACAGGAGAACAGTATATTCTGGATAAAGGCTTTTATACCAGTTTTGAAGACTGGGGAGGCAAAAATTGTAAGATTTCTTCACTTCAGCCCATATGTTTGGTAAGAAGTTATATATATATTAAAACTTTTAATGTGAATTGAATGAAAGTTTATAGGGCAGAGCATCAGTTTTGCACTCAACCAATTATATTTTGTTTCATTGCAGAAATTATACTTTTTATGAGAATATTTAACTGAATTGTAGATTTCCTAACTGTATGTTCATGGTTATGAAATATTGATTGCTTTGAAAGTATTCTGAGCTTAGTAGAAATTATTGATGGTCTGAAAGAAAAGACTTGTTCAAAATTATACTTGACTCATTTCCTTTTCTTTTCCCCTTAACAATTTTTAGGATTCATTCACTGGCTCAAGGAAACGAAATCAGGTAACTTAAAAAAATATATATTTTATATAATTAGAGACCTTTCCATTTCAAATGCATTTAATTATCTCATGTAGAAAATGCCAGATATTTGAAATATTTTGTTAGCTTTACCTACTTAAATACATGAAAACATAATTATATTTTAAAACTAGAACTTATGTTTACTTTAAACTGAAAAGAAAGCATTCTTATAAAATGCTATAATTACATAAAGCTTGATTTTGTATCATTATATTGAATCAGATTTTACATTCATACATTTAAGAACAACATTTCACACAATAGCATATAGTCATTGTGTTCAGTCATATAATGAATTTTTATATCTTCTGTGTCTGTATTACACACACACTTTTTTAATGGTCTCTCACTTGAGCATTTTGAATGCTGACTCTCTGTATCAACTGAAGTGTTACAGATGTGAATTAGGCCTTTTAATGGAAGTGTTCAGACAGCCATAATTATAGAGACACAAACTCACTGTAGCCTCCTTTATGGACAAATCTGTCTGCATCCAATAAAGACTCCAGTAAGTCAGCAAATGCCATCCATTGTAAGGGAGAAACACTTATACTACATGTTTCCAAAGCATGGTTTATTGTTAATGATGTACAATTACTTTTGGCCACAACAAAGTTTTAAAATGTTCACTGATTATTACAACACGGTGTTCTGTAGAAGGATGGGCTTTCTATTGTTGGATGGCCTTTTAATGTCTCTGAATTTAAACAATCATGAATGGTTCAGCCAACGTGTTTCTAGTTGTTCATTAATGTGTAAATAGAAAATTAAAGGATTTTAAAAACTCACAACAGCTTACTATTATGAGAGTTAACAAATAGGTTATGTTTGGGTCATTGTTTCAAAATCTGAATGAGTTATGTGTTTAAGAAAATAATGTTATGTGTTTCTGTTTACTTTTCAAAGATTCACTTGTTTTCAGAACCACAGTTTCAAGGTTGCAGCCAAAGTTTTGAAGAAACAACAGATCATATTGATGATTCATTTTCTGCAAAGTCTTGTAGAGTTATAGGAGGCAGGTAAGTGATTGGCAGAGAATGTACTCACTGAGGGAAAATAGAATAGAGGCATCAGTAAGTAATCGTATTTAGTAATATCGCTTAGGAGCTTAACACTATATGAAACCACCAACGAATACAAGATTATATTTGCACCATAGTCTGTTTTGCAGCACAAGTGCTAAATCGTCAGAAGGCATGGAGTTCAGTGTGGGTTGGAGAAGTTGAAGATAACCTCTTTGGATTCACACCAAACTCTAGGGGTGAATTCGCTGGATGTCTTACTTTGATCATTTTACTCTCTGGATCTGTTCCATAATCTGTAAAGAGAGAGCTAGACTCCAATTAATCTCTATGGTACCTGCAAAGATTTTTTTTGCTAGCTAAATAGTAGTAGGACAGACATTCTAGATGACAAGAGCATGAAGAGACGTGCATGACTGGAGTAGACCTGCTGTGCTTGCTACGCAGTGAGCAGACCACCCTCCCTAGCTACGAGTTTAGACAGGGAGGGCGGGATCAGGTTGTGAAGACCCCTCCTGAGCCTATTAGTTTAGCTGGATGCTATTAGAAGCATAAGATGGGGAGGAGCAATGAATTCAAAGTGCCGTGCTGAAAAATTCATCTACGTCAGCTTTATTAGAGGTCTTGAAGACTTGGAAAACCACTGGAGCAGTCTGTGCAGAGCTGATGAAGTATTGAGTCCAATAATAAGAATTGTTGTTGTTAAGTGCCGTAGAGTTGGTTCTGACCCATAGCGACCCTGTGTAGGATTTCCGAGGAGGGGCTGGTGAACTTGAACTGCTGACTTTGCAGTTCAAATGACTTTGCAGTCCAGCGCATTAACCCACAGCACCATACCAGGACTCCAGTAACTAGAGTTGTTGTTGTTGTTATGGGCCGCGGAGTCGGTTCTGACTCATAGCGACCCTGTACAGGGTTTCTGAGGCTGTAAATCTTTGGTAACAATAATGCTTTTAATCAGAAAGTTCTTAAATAGCTAAGTCACCTTTCATTTAACTTTACCTTCATATATGTACATAAATTTACAGACAGCTCCACCTTTATTAGAATATCCCTTTGCCCCAGCCTAGTTCCTCTCTATTCCATACAGGCTTTGTCACCACCTGACTGTACATTTTTGTTGCTCTTACTGTTTTATTGTCTGTCTCACCTCATGAGAGGGTAAATTTCAAGACAGCAAGAAGTTTGCTTTGTGTGCTCTCCTCTACAATGGGAAAGCCTTTGACACACAATTGTTTTTAGTTGCCACAGAGTTGATTCTGACTCGTAGCAGCATCCTGTAGAACTGAGCTCCATAGTATTTTCTTAGTGTAGTGGTTCTGAGTTGAGCTGCTAATCTCACTGTCAGTAGTTCGAAACTACCAGCAGTTCCATGGGAGAAAGATGAGGCTTGCTACTTCCATAAAGATTTACAGCCTCAGAAACCCTATACAGGGTCACTGTGGGTCGGAACTAACTGCATGCCACACCACCACCACCGCCAATCTTAGACATAAGTTGCCAGGTTCTGTCTTCTGTGATACTGCTGGGTAGGTTCAAACCACCAACCTCTTTAGGTTAGCAATCAAGTGCAAACTATTTGGGCCACCCAGGGCCCTTGATGCACAATTGCTAGTTGCCGTTGAGTTGATCACAACTCATGGTGGCCCCTATGCGCAGAGTGAGACTGCACTGCTCATAGGGTTTTCAAGACTTTGGCCTTTCAGAAGCAGATTCCCAGGGCTTCTGAGTGAGAACCACCAACCTCTTGGCTAGTAGTTGAGTGCTTAATCATTTTCATCACTCAGGGATTCCTTGACCAAAAATTTGTCCTAAATAAATATTTGCTGGATTAAATCAAAACAAAACAAAAACTCTTCTATGGAAGCATGGTAAATTATGATTTTAAAAAAGCTGATGCCCGAGAGGCTGATGTATCTCCGTCACTCTGGCACTTTGACTTGGGACCCAGTGCAGAGACAAGGCAATGAGGACAAAGGAAAGTGTGAGAGAAATTATGGGAGGAAATTAGTAGGCTTTGTGACTGACCCTTTGGAAGGACTCTAAGTTTGAAGCTACATGGGCTGGGAGAATAGTAGTTAGTTCCCATGAGAGGGGCAAGGAAGGTAGGGATGTGGAGAAGTTAAAACATGGATCATTTCAAGGAAAAAAAAAAATCTTACTTCCCAAATGCAAAGTTAACAGCTTGGCCTATTATGAATATAATTTGCCTCAAGATGAAATGTATCTATCCAGATATTTTTTAAGAAAGAACACTGTTAGCCACAAACATAGTGTTTTATATCAGGCTACCTCTTCTTGAGTAGAAATACTCAAATTGCATGTGTGTGGTTTTTCCTTCTGTAGCTGGGTTGCATATGATGGAGAAGACTTCTCTGGTAATCAGTACGTGTTGGAAGAAGGCCACTATCCTTGTCTCTCTGCAATGGGATGTCCTCCTGGAGCACTTTTCAAGTCTCTTCGTTTTATAGATGCTGTGAGTATGTCATGACTTTGTTATTGTTTGGTGTGGTCAAGCAGTTCCAACTCACAGTAACCCTGTATAGGGTTTCCAACGCTTTAAGCCTTTATGGGAGCAGAAAGCCTTATCTTTCTCATGAAGAGCAGCTAATGGGCTCAAGCTGCCAACCTTGCAGTTAGCAGTCCAGTGCTCATCCTAGAACCCGTGTAGGGTTTCCAAGGCTGTAAATCTTTACGGGAGCAGAAAACCTCATCTTTTTACCTTTGAGAGGCAGGTAGATTTCAGCTTGGGGTTAGTCCACAACTCAGAACCCACTACACTAGCAGAGTTCCAGGGGTGCAGAAATGCATGGTTCACATTGCTGATGGGCAGAGAAAGGAAAGAAAGCAGGTGCAACTTTCCCAGGACTTACCTCTGAGGCAGTAGGCTTTCCACCACACACCTTTGGTTTCTGTTTCAGATCTTTAACGTGTTAATTATTTTTTATTTGCTTGTTTCTCAGATGTCAGGTGCATATGTTGAATTAGTTATGCACACTCTCATCATGGGTTAGTTCAAAGCCCCTGTCCTCTGTGTTTGGTTTATTTTATTCCCTCACTTCATGTTTGAGCCCTGTTTCCATTCCTCTCTCCGTATCTTTCTCATGAGGAGCAGGCAACTATCTTAATGTGTAAGATACAGCTTGGATATTCTTGTAAAACTTATGTGTTGTTTGTTTGTTTGTTTTTTAAATCAGAATTTAGGCTTTTTAAAAAAATAACATTGTGTTTTTGGTAAAAGTTGACACAGCAAGTTAGGGTCCCTTTTGACAATTTCTGTACAAACTGATTAGTGAATCAGTTAACTTTATCACATTGCTATACAGAGGCTTTAAGTTTATTTAGGCAGTACATTTAGTTGTCATTTTGTTATAAAACATAACTCAGTGCTTACATATAAAACAAACTGTAAGAACTGCCATTCTCCTGTAGGTACATATAGTGTATTGATTACAATTACTGCAAGTATTCGCTCACCATTTTTATTTATATACTCCTTATATGTGGGAGGATTTTTAGGAATATATACTAAAGACTGGAACTGGTGGGATGCATATATATGAATATTCAGTTTCATTAAGCACTGACAGATTCCTCCACACCCACTGGCACTACCTGAGGGTTACTGTTCCCACACTGTTTTTTTTTAATTCAGTTTTTATTTCTTGATGTATTCTATTTTATTGGTTAAGAATATGTTTAGCTAGAAAAGCAAAAACATTCTACTATACTGGATTAATAAGCAATCTAGGGTTTTTCCTTAGATAACAAGAAGTCTAGGGGGTAGACTGTCTAGACTTGTTTAGCTGTATAGTTAGAGGCCCAGGCTCTTTCTGTCTTTCTGCTCTACCAGTTCTAGCACTTAGGTTGACTTTTCTCTAAGTGTTGCCACATGGTCATAAGGCAGCTGCTGTAGCTCCAGCTTTCATCCACAATCGTGAGGGCAGCTGGTCATACCAGTTTTGTAACTTCTCATCCCAGTTACCTGGTGTTACCCTGCAGATTACTCGTGTTTTCCATTTTCCTATTGGATTGTTGGTTTGTTTCTTAATGATTTGTTGATGCTCATTATATGCCATATAATGAGTGCTTTGGAGTCCTGGTTGGTACTGCAGGTTAATGCACTGGACTGCAAGCTCGGTTTGAACCACAAGGTTGGCAGTTCAAACTCACCAGCTGTTCCTCTGAAACCCTATACACAGTTGTTATGAGTTGGAACTGACTCAAGAGCACTTAACAGCAACAAAAATTTAGTAGCTCGACTAAAATATGGGTTGAAATATTTCCCCCTAATTATTCACTTGATTTAGCTTATAGTTTTTAAAGATATGGTTTTTTTTTTTTTATATTTCTAGACAAATTGAAGAATTAATTGTCTTCTGGGTTATGAATCAGACCTAGAAAAGCATTCTTCAACTCAAGAGTGTATTTTTTTTCTTAAATGTTTTATTGTGAATTATGTGATAGTTTACATGGGAGAACATAAATTTTACATTCATTCTATCGTATATCATCTCATTGCCATCTCAATCCCCTCCGTGCTTCATCAACCAACCAAAGGGTGTACCCTGCAATCTCTATAGAGTATTATTTAATTCCCTGGTTTTTTTCCTCACACTTCTGTGACTTCATTTTTGTTTTTGATATCTGACCTGTGTGAATTAATTTTATTGTAAAGAGTGATATAGGGAACCAACTTACTGTCTTCATGTGGTCCTCACATTTTTATAATGTAATTCCCATGTGTAGTTCCATCTTTATCTGAACTTTCTAGTTTGTTCCATTGTTCTGTTTGTCTAATCATATACTAGTACCTCCCTGTTTGAAATTATGGCAACATAATAATGCTGTTTCAAACCTTATACATCCACTCTCTGTTTATTTGACTTTATTCCTTTGCAGCTAAGGTTACAGATGTGGTTCAGCGTCCAGTGATTGGATGTACATGTTTGGATTTGAATAATAGAAGAGAGTTAGTGCTTGTGACTGACAAGCAGATGTTGTAGTAGCAAAGTTCTGCATCCCACTATCTTGTCTCCAGTTTCTGGTGTGAGGCAGAGGCAGCAATAGTAGTTTTCTGGTCTCCAGATTGTAAGAAAGTTTGCCAGTATCAGGAATACAACTTTTAGCATCAGCAGTAACCACAGAAGCAGTAGCTGCAGGCACGGGGATGGGTTGACTGTTTTTTGTATTGTTAGGTGATCTGTTTTTAGCTTCCCACCTATGTATGCTCCTTTCCTTTTCCAGTGTTATTCTTGGTGAAGTTCAATTCAGCAGACTCCCTTAACATGCTTGGAAATAGCTGGTAATACGGTGACATTTTTATCAAAGAAAATCTACTTGGTGGGCAATGAGTCACTCACTAGACAAGATGCAGCATAGTACTATTTATACATTATCCTGCTTCTGTTTGAATGGCACTGATCTTCTGGACTGGGGTGGCCACTGGGTCTACCAGTGTGAAATTGCAGTCACGACTGTGTTTCAGTTTTGAGCATTTGTAGGAGCCTAAAGCACTAGCTTCTGAGATGCCTGGGGGGAAATCTTGGATTCCTCTTCTTCAGCTCCAGTTTTCAGTGGTGCTCACCCTGAACCAAAGAGTAGTACTGGACTTGCTGGGATCTTTTCTTCATGGAGCAAATCAGAGATGCATTTTGGCCCTTTGTGACCACTGGTTTGCGAGGATAATCTGAATAAAGGACATTCATCTGTTTACCTCTTTTTTTCATAATCCAATACAGATTTTTGAATTGAAAGAAAAGGAACACAAGAAAATTCTTTTATGCATTATGTTTTGGTTTAGAGATTCAAGTCTCAAAATGATAAGTTCTTAGGGTCAATGGTTCAAACTTACCAGTTGCTCCTTAGAAACCCTGTACAGGGTCGCTATGAGTCAGAACTGACTCAACAGCACTTAACAGTAACATATATAAAGGAGGAAAAGGTACCTCAAAAAATCCCTTTGGTCAAGTGGCTCCAACATTCTCCTTTCCTATAGTAATGATACTGAAGATGGTACAGGACCAGACAGTGTTTTGTTGTGTGTATGTATAGTCCCTGTGAGTCAGAATGGACTTGACGTCACCTCTACACTTTCTGATTGGGATGACTCTCAGTCGAGTGAATTCAGGGTTATCCCATACATCTCCTAACCAAGGTCAGTCAGACGAGTTCTCACATTTTTGTCATTACTGAGTGTTCTCTGACTTTCTCAATTTTGTCAATTTGGTGGAATAGGGAAAAAAAGCATTATTTCCTTGTGTTTATTTCTGTTTCTCTCACTCTTACTGAAGTTGAATCTCAAATATTTATTAGCTGTTTGGAATTTCCATTTGGTGCCTTGCCTGCTTACAACCTTTGCCCAATTCTCTATTCAGTTTTTTGTTTCTTTTTTGGTATTACTCATTTGCAGAAATATCTTAGAGCTTTTTGATCTATTATTACTCTGTTGTTGTAGAGATTTCCAGTCAAATGACTTCTTCCAACCTATCACCAATGTGCTAACCTAGATTATAATGTACCTTTTTCTTTAAAACAGAAATTCTGTTTTGATGTGGTCAAGGAATTTACAATTAAACAAAATTGCAATATATATATAGTATTCACATGTTGAAGTTGGTTGGATATGTCTGTGTTTTTAAAACTGTTAGCTTTTGGTAGCTGGTCTTTTGGGAATAGCTTTAAATATTTGTAATTTTAAAGGCAGGATAAACATAAGTGAGTTGGCTTTGTTGTTAGAATAACTAAAATGTTGATCTTTCTGGAGATGTGAAAATAGCAATGAAATATGGAATGATGTGGTAAGATTCATTACCTTACAAATAATGAAATAAGTAAGATTTTGACATTTAACCTGACTAGAATTCTAAAAGCTACCTATAATTATATATTGGGGGGGGAGGGGGGAAATAACTTCAGATATAAAATTTTAAATGTTTCCCCTCACCCAGAACTTGGAATCTATGATCTCTGTTCATGCCACTCCTGACATTCCATCGATGATGTTCTCTTAAGATTTTGATTATTAAGACTAAATATCTTAATTGTGATTTAATACCTCCAAATTGTTCAGTTAACTTTATACATTAAACTCGACTGGTAAGAACATTTTTGAAATGCCATGCACATAAAATGCAAAATATTATTAGTACTACAGTCTTCATCATGTTTCTCCTTATATGTTTCTTCTTGCTTGGTTTCCTTCGAGTATGTTTTATATAACCTAGTTCTTTGACCATACAAACCACCTCTGCAAACTAATCTGCTTAGTCTATGATCTAAAACATCTTTTCTACATGTCAGGGCACATCCACATAACTGAAGTAGCAAGGAGGACCACACCTTTGCCACAAAAATTTAAGTAGGTGGGGAAACAATTGTAATCCCCAGGGGTTTTTTTGATGTATCATTTATGATCATAGGAATTTTTCATTGGAGCTTAGTCTAGGATGAAGGTCTGTAATTTGAAAACAAAGCATGCATAAGTGGCCAGCTTTTTATATCTTTTTGATAATCAGTGGACTTCTGTGTTATTGTCCGATTTTCAGTGATTGACAGTCTAATCGTGGGAATTCCATCCTGCTTTTTTCTCTTCTCCTGTTAATAGTTCCTTCAGGACAGTTTGGCAACAGGAGCATATAGAATCTTTGTTCTGTTGACAAAAGAGGTCTAAAAAACGACATTTGAAACTAAAGACAAGGCAAATATTCCTTGAATAGGAAACACCACACTACCACTGAATGTAGCTGCTATGGCCCTTAGTCCTTTGCCGTTTATGCCCAGGCTGTGCTTCAGATTGTCCCAGAGGAAGATGGCTGAGTTGGATGTAGACTCCTGTGGAGGTGTTGAGACTCCAGGCATATCATGTATCCACTCTCCTGTGCATGGCTTGTTTTTGCTTTGTAACATTCTTTATGTTTACCTGCCTTGATGCATTGGGAAAGAATCCTGACTCAACTTCTTTCCTCATTTAGCTCTTTGTTCTTTCTTTAGGTTTGGAGTATGTAAACAGAGTTTGTGACTAAGCTAAATCTGACCCGAACTTGTTATTTTGAACTTGTAAAAAGATGACTTTCACATAACTGCAAATTATCAAAGTTGAATAATATAATTTTGCTCCTAAACAGGAATTTTCAGAACCAACAATTATTCTTTTTGAAAGGGAAGACTTCAAAGGGAAAAAGATTGAACTGAATGCAGAAATCATTAATCTCCGATTCCTAGGATTCAACACAAAGATCCGCTCTGTCCAGGTTATTGGTGGCATGTAAGTGAGTTACCTGCTTGTTTATTTACTAGATCATTTAAAGAGTGGGGTTTGATTAGATGTCTTTCATTTTTATATTTCCTTAAAGGAATTGACATATAACCCCTTATTTTTCTGTAAGGGTTCGTAACTTTGCAGTACACGTGCTGCATTGGATAATGCCTCCTGTAAGGCTTCTGTCATCTTTTATTCATATTTTTCACTTTCTTTAAGGCTTTGCCTTTAATATCCCTCATGGGCCCTAAGGGGATTCTTTGCACATGTGTGATCAGCAAATTTATTAAATACTCTTTAGGTTTTTTTAGCAAATAAGAGAGAAAGCAGCTCTCTTTTTATCCGTTTGAAACACCACCTTTGATTTGAGTGGTATGGTTGGGGTTTTCTTTCGCACTGCTAGTTCAGTGTTTCAGGAGACCCAGGTTTGATCCCTGGCCAGTGCACTTCATGGTCAGTGTCCATGCACAGTTGCATGTTTCTAGGATGCTGAGCAGGTTTCAGTGGAGTTTCCAGACTGCCTTAGTTACTGAGTGCTGCTGTAAGAGAAATACAGCAGGTGGATGGCTTCAACAACCCGAAATGTATTCTCTCACACTTTAGGAGGCTAGAAGTCCAAGTTCAGGGCGCAAGCTCTGGGAAAAGGTCTTGTCTCTTTTTAGCATCTCGAGGCCCAGAATTCCTTGGAGATCTCCATGTGTCTTGGCATCAGTCTTCCCCTGGATCTAGGAGCTTCACAGTGCAGGGTCCAAAGGATGCACTCTACTCCTGATTTTTCTTTCTTAGCTGTAGCAGGTTCCACTTTCTCTGCTCACTTCTCTCTCCTTTGTAAGATGTTGCAGGTTACACTCCTGGGAAACTCCCTGACACCTACCCTTAAACCTTTTATTGGTTTATCAGATCACATCACATTACATTACCACGTATTTGGCAAACCACTGAGGATCCTGATCCAGCCAAGTCAACCCATATTCTGGGGGGACACAATTTAATCTATGACACAGACTAAGATGGACTAGGCAGGAAGGTTATTGGTGTTATGTAAGTGCGTTACCTGCTAGTTTATGTAATAGATAATTTTTAAAGTGGGGTTATCTACTTCTGAAAGTCAGTCAGTGAAAACCCAATGGATCGCCACAATCGGGTCTGCTGAACACTTGGCTCCCTTAGGTCTGGAGTCACTGGGAGTCCTGGTGATTTGACAACAGCTCACAAGAGGAACGACCAGCAGATAGTTTGCAAAAGATACAAGGTTGTTTGTCTCCACTGTGAACACTTTGGAAACTTGAGTAAGATATGACGATAAAGAAGTCCTGCTGTGGCACTGGACTAACCACAAAGTCAGTGGTTCAAACCCACCAGCTGCTCCTCAGTTACCCATACAGGGTCGCTGTGAGGCAGAACTGACTTGAAGGCAATTAATAACAACAACAATGCAGTTTAAAAAAACCTGTTGCCATTGAGTTCATTCTGACTCACAGTGACCATACAGGATAGAGTAGAACTGTCCCAGAAGATTGCCAAGGCACTGTTGCATAAGCACTGGACTGATAACTGCAAGGGTGGTTATTCAAAGCCACCAGCCGCTCCTCAGAAACCGTATACATTGTTGCTCTGAACTAAAAGGAGCAGCTGACCTTTGAACCACAGACCTTATGGTTAGCCGTCAAGTCTTTACCCAGCAGTGCCATAGAGTGATGGGATTATAAGTGATTTTTCCCAGTAAATTTTAACGGATATTTTGTATTTATGATAAGGTAGCTAAAATTATAGCATTTTAGATTCTAAGATTAAAAGTAAAGCACATTCTCTTTGATACAATATAGCCACGGAACAAGAGAGCAGTTGCTGTGTGGCTTGAATGTCAATCTGTTCTCCAGCCCCAGCTTCCAGGGGGCTGGGGAAGGCGGGGTGCAGCAACACCAAGTATCTCTGGGTGGAGGAGACCTGAGTACCGTTAGCAGTGTACTAGATTTGAGGAAGATAAACTCTGGTTTTAAACAAACATGTATTGATGTGTTTGCTTTTAACTAACACTTCTGTACTATGAACTTGAAGTGTTGCACTAAGAACTTTGTAAGCATTAACTATTTGAATAACTTAAAGATCCATTAATTCAACTGAAGATGTTTAACAAGTAGCTCACAGGAAGACTGGGCTGCTCCACTAAAACACTGCTTCTTTTGGTGTAAATTCTATGTACCCAAAATGTTATGTTTGCCAAGAAATGGATGTTTTACACATTTTACAAAATAAAGTAGCTCTGTTTTTACCCCCTAATGTATTTTTGGGGAGTCCTGGTGTGGTGCTGTGGGTTAATGCGCCAGACTGCAAAGCTGTTTGAACTGCAAGGTCGGCAGTTCAAGCTCACCAGCTGCTCCTTGGAAACCCTATACAGGGTCGTTATGGGTCGGAATCGACTCAACAGCACTTAACAATAACAATGTATATTTAAAGTATAAAACTTGGTCTAGAAATTGGGAGCATTCTAAAAGCATAAATATAATCGGGACCATTGTCAAAGGAAATTGTCACTTACTGTGGCTATCTGTGTTTTTCTTTCAGATGGGTTACGTATGAGTATGGCAATTACAGGGGTCGTCAGTTTCTACTGTCACCAGCAGAAATACCTAATTGGTATGAATTCAGTGCCTGCCGCCAAATAGGCTCTCTCAGACCTTTTGCTCAGGTATGTCTTCTCGTCATAATATGACGTTTTGTTTTTGTTCTTTGTTTTTTTGTAAATCAGTTTCAAATTTAAGTTTGAAATTGTTCTCTCCCCAACCCCTTCCTATCCCCCATTCTCCTGCTTCTGAAATACTATCACATTCAACAGAACTTGTCTATAGGTGGGCTCCTTGCCCTAGACATGCCTTTCAAAGTTGGCCAAAGTCTTCTTGAGCAAATCCTGAACCCACTGAGACTTGGGCACAGCAGTTCTCTCTCCTGTCTGCTCACCCCTCAGATTCTTCCCTTGATAGTAATGCTTGCTCAGTGAGTCTAACAGGACAGTAATATGATGTTTGCTGGGGCTTTTGTCTTCTAGAAACGAATTTACTTCAGACTTCGAAACAAAGCCACAGGGTTATTCATGTCGACCAATGGAAACTTAGAGGATTTGAAGCTTCTTAGAATACAGGTCATGGAGGATGTTGGTGCTGATGATCAGATATGGATTTATCAAGAAGGATGCGTCAAATGCAGGGTGAGATTTATACGATTGTTGTTGGTGGTGTTAAGTTCTGTTGAGATGGTTCTAACTCATAGTGACCCTTCCAAGGAGCGACTGGTGAGTTTGCACTGCTGACCTTGCAGTTGGCAGTTTAGTGCTAAGCCTACAGTAGCACACGAGAACTCCATTCATAGAATTGTTGTTGTTAAGTGCCATCGAGTTGTTTCTGACTCATAGTGACCCTGTATAGGGTTTCCGAGGAGTGGCTGGTGAGCTTGAACCACCAACTTTGCTATTCAGATCGACCTTGCAGTCCAACACATTAACCCACAACACCACACCAGGACTCCGTTTATAGGATTAGACCTATTTGTAGGATTAGACAGGTCTGTAATCCCTTTGCTAGCAGTCCAGATGTCCTTTAGCATGCCTTTGATCTCTCTTTAAGTGGATGGTATTTCACAATTCCTAGAGCACTTTCAGGAGTGAATTTGAATTTTTTTCCATGAAAGTATTTCGTAGCTCTGATAGAACCAGTCTAGGAAGTTAAAATCAAAGCTGAATCTAGCAATGCTCCAAGATACATCTCTACTTTCTTAGACAATAACAAAAAAGGAAGTGTCTGGATTAATTAATTACTCTCTCCCCTTTTTAATAATCTGTTTGTGACAGAAATAAACTTGAACTTGCAGCACTATCAACAAAACTCGCTCTTGGTTCGTTTCCCTTTCGGAGACTCTCACGTGGTAGGATTAATTTCTTAATTGTCCATTTCCCTCTCACATCACTTCTGCCATGATGAATGTGGAAAAGCTGAATGTAGTCGTTTTTTATGAGAGGATTATGCTTCTATTGGAGCTCCTCTGTGTCACTCCTCAATTTTATGGGATTGACTGTTTGCTCCTGAATTTTGTTTTTTAAACATGGTGCCCCATGAATCATCTCGTGGAAGGGACACAACTTGTTATTTGGGACTTGTGCTTGAGGGAGAGTTATCCTATCAGTAAACAGAAGTATTGTTTGGATGTGCTTTTAGAAATAGCACAAGACATAGAAGTAGCTGTAATCCGTTATTGTTAAGTGCCATCCAGTCGTTTCTGACTCCTAGCAACCCTGTGTAGAGTTTCCAAAGAACAGCTGGTGTAGATGCATGAAAGGAAGTCACCAAGTTCTACTTTTGAATTCTCGTTAACAGCAAATGGTGCCTTTCAGCAGTGCTTTCTAACCAATCTTTCATTGACGCGTGTGATGACTTTCAATTCAGTATGTCATTGATACAATGTACACAACATCTTAGTCCTCTCATTTCAACAGAGGAGTGTGTTATTACTGAATATTTTCTCTAGCAGTATGAAGGAGCCTCAATGGCACAGGGAGCTAAGCATTGGACTGCTAACTGAAAGGTCAGCAATTTGAATTCACCAGAAAGATGAGGTTGCCTGCATTAGTAAAGGTGTACATATGGCCAGAAACCTTAGGGAGCAATTCTGTTTGGTCCTGTAAGTCGCTGTATATCAAAATTGACCTGGTAGCAGTGGGTTTGGTTTGTTGTTCTGGATAACAGTATGTCTTAGGGTCACATGGGAATTATGACTACCATGTTGTTGCTGTTGTCAAGTGCTGTACAGTCTATTCTGACTCATAGTGACCCCGTATACGGTTTTTGAGGGGCAGTTGGTGGGTTTGAACCACCAACCATGTGGTTCGCAGTCCAGTGTTGATCCTACAACACCACACCAGGAGCCCATGACTACCATACACTGTTGATACATTAAGAGTAGGTACACTGTACAAGAGGATCATAAAATCTTTGCAGTAACCCACCCTCTAGTGATTTTGTGTGTTTTTTTTCAAAGTTGAGACTTAGCTTGTGAAGGTTTCAGCAAGAGAAGTTAATACATGCAATTTCAAGTTTCAGATTGATAAACGATCCTTTTAACCATGCTCACATGTGGTTTAATGTGCTGGACTGCAAAGTCAGTTTGAACAGAAAGGTCAATGGTTCAAGCTCAGCAGCCGCTCCTCAGAAACCCTATACAGGGTCTCTATGAGTCGGAACTGACTTGATGGCATTTAACAACAATACTTCAGCAGACTTCGCATTAGAGGTGCAGCCATGTGTTGGAGGGGTCAGGGTGAGCAGAGGTAGATACATGGGGAGATTTAGCCATGCACCCAACCTCAGATGACTGTCACTTCTGAGAGGGGCAAAATGCTACAAGGGCAAGTTTTGTTACAGTAGTAAGGTAGAGTCTTACAAAGGCAGACACTTCTTATAATGGACAAGAACAGAGATTGCTCCACTCGGCTTATCTGAAACCAAGAGCATAAATACGTGTTGTCTGACCCCAGCCACCTTGGCTAAAAGTAGAAACGTCTCATGTGGGACAAATGAAGCTAGGATGTAAGACCATTTAAAAAATCTGTTTCAACTAGGAAATAATTGCTATGAGATTTAAACGTGTTTCTGTCTCTAAGATGCATTGTCTTTTCCACTAAGCAGATAGCAGAAGACTGCTGCCTGACCATCGTGGGCAGCTTGGTCACATCTGGCTCTAAGCTGGGCCTGGCCCTTGACCAGAATGCCGATAGCCAGTTCTGGAGCATGAAGTCCGACGGCAGGATCTATAGCAAGATGAAGCCAAATTTAGTTTTAGATATCAAAGGTAAGGGTCATATATTTTCTGTATCGTACTGTGCTTTTCTTTATTCAACTAAAGCTATACTCTTCATGCAGCTAAAAAGATATTCTTAGATTTTGAAAACAATGAGTACAACACAATGAGTGTTATTAATAATAGTAATAGAACCCTGACTATGTGTGCACCAGGCATCGCTGCTAAGCACTGTAGTCCACTGTTTCATGGGATCTACACAGTGACTTTGAGAAATGAATGTTCCCTTCCCACACTCCCCATCCTATTTTCTGCACAGAGGGGCTCATCAGTTGGACCCTGATCTGCCACCCATGCATGCTGCATTGAAATCTGACTCCAAACCATTTGCTTCATTGCAAGCGTTCGTCTAAAAATCACAGCTACAGTTTTGTAATCATAGTCATTATAGTTGATGATTCTCATGTATGTACATGTAACCTTGCATTGAAAAGAGCTACAAGGCCATTGCTTACAATGTTATTCCTTAAAACAACACATCCAGGAGGATTTCAATGGAAGTTGTGTTCGAAGTCGGTTAATCTGGAGCTAGCTGCTCTTGCATGGAGAAGAGCAAATAAATTTAAGCCAGTGAGCCTCAAGCTTTATCCGCATCAGCATCACTCAGAGGGCTTGTTGAATCATACAATGCCTTGTTAAATCATTCATCTTGTCTGGAGTTGTTGTTAAGTGCCATCAAGTTGATTCAGACCCTTAGCGACCCACTATGTAGGATTTCCAAGGAGCAGCTGGTGAGCTTGAACCACTGACCTTGTAGTTCAACCGACTTTGCAGTCTGATGCATTAGCCCACAGCGCCACACCGTGGAGCCTGTAGATCTGCATTTCTGACAAGTTCCCAGGTGGTGCTGATGCTGCTGGTCTAGGAACCCAACTTTGAGAACCATTGAGAATTTTTAAACATCAAACAAACAAGCAAATGAAGACCTGTTCTAGACAAGGAAAGTCAGCGAACTGTTGTTGTTACTGACAAGGATGTGGCAGTCTGCTTCCTTAATGCTTTATAGTCTAGGAAACCCCCTGGGGCAGATCTATTCTGTCCCATGGGGCTTCAGAGTCAGAATCAACTAGACAGCAGTGGGTTTGGGTTTAATCCTGTTTGTTGTTGCTATTGGCAAGCAGATGAAGATAAGTGTGTTTTATTCATGTCATCCAGGATAATTTTGCTTTAAATTATTCATGGGCACTTTTCTGTTCCCTACCAGGAAAGACAGCATGCTTTTGGAAAATATAATAATGCAACTCATAATTTATTTTAAATCATTGCTAGAAGTTGGCTCAATTTTAACCAGGGCTCTAGACCAGTGCCATTTTTAACTAAAAATCACGATGTAGGGGTAAAGAAATAGCTATAATCTGGCTTTGAAAGAACTCTCCCGGGAATGGAGAGTAAGCCAGAACATACGTAGGTAACTGAGTGAATGGGGAGCAGTAGTGGCTGAGTCACTTCCGGATAGCCTCCTGGTGGGCTGAGCTGCCAATTTGTCTAACAATTGGATTGGAATTCACAAAGCCCCAAGAAGCTGGAAAGGTGCTGGGAGGCAAGAAATTAACTTTAATGAAGGCAAAGGTAGAGTCTAAATTTGGAGCACAAACTAAGCTATATAATGACCGGCTGGATGGAGACCAAAAATCATATATAAAAAGCAAGTAGGACCCTTGATAATATGTTTCTTTCACATTGTGTTTGATACAGTAGATTTGCTCTTATATGTGGGCATTGTTAAGTGCCATCCAGATGGTTCCAGCTCATGGCAATCTTGTGTAGGTTTTCCAAGGAGCGGCTGGTGGGTTTGAACTGTCGACCTTGAGGTTAGCAGTCCTGTGCTTACATATGCCCATTTTACAGATAATCACCCTGAGGTCTAAACTGGTTTTAGAGTCACTCCACCAGACCTTTGTTTGTTCTGATTTTAACCAATTTTGTTGAATTTGGGAATGTGGAGTTTATGATGAAATGTTAGGAAATTTCAACTATTGATTCCCAAAGGAGAAGGTGAATAAACCTATGGGCCTGTGGTTCTTAAAATGGAATCAGTTTCCTATGTCCAGGGTTAAGATTACTGTAATCCTTATTAGCTAGTTTGTTGGGTGGAACATTACTTTTTTACTCTTTCAACAAGAATTTTTTGGTATCCACTATGTGGCAGGCTTTGTGCTAGACACTGGCAGTACCAAAGTGAGAAAGTAGATTATGCTTGGTTCACAGAATTTACAAAGATTTTGTGTTTGTTTGTGTCATTTACTATGATGTGATGCTACAGGCTAAGCATGGGATTGCTAATCTCAAGGCCAGCAGTTCAAACCCACCATCCACTCCTTGGAAACCCTGTAGAGGGTCACTATGAGTCAGAATGGACTTGATGACACTTAACAGCATATTAGCAATGGACCAAGTGTGAGGACTTCTAGTCTTAGCTCTGGTATGAACTATGACTTAACTTGAAAACTCTAAGGCCCTTTCCTAAAATGATAAATTATTTACATTATATAATTTATAATAGAAAAAATTCTATTAACAATTAGTTGTGTGGCTCTTGAGTAGAGATGATAGCCTATTGGGAAGTGTGGAGCCTGTCTAACTTGGTAGTGACCCTAGAGCACAGAGTAAAACTTCCCCTTAGGGCTTTCAAGGCTGTAGTCTTTACAGAGCAGGCTGCCCAATCTTTATCCTACTGAGTGAGCAACTGATGGGTTTGAACCACTAACCTTTTGGTTGGCATTCCAGTGTTTAACCTCCTTGGTATCTGCTAAATTACTTAATTCCTTGTTAAACTGAATTTTAATTTGTCTGGAATGTAAGAGAATGATGCCATCTTGTGGACATGAGAGAGTAGGGCCACATCGTCCATAGCTGCCAGTCATTACCTAGTGCAGCAAGATTTCTTACAAGTCTTTCTTCAGACCTGTCTCCCACTGTTTGAGCAATGAGTTGTCTTGGTAGACCATCACATATGATTCCTTTACCAGACCACAAACATTATGACAACAGGTGAGCCTCATTCATGACAATTTTTAAAAAAAAATCAAATATGGGATGATTTGAATTCCCAAAGGCAGAAGGACGAGTCAAATGATTTCTCAAGAGCTTTCTAGTCTCCAAGACTAGATAGATTTAGAAGGGAATAGACATGAAAATAAATGTTTTGATCTCGAAGTATGAAAAAGAGACATTGATGTTGTTAAATACTGTTAAGTTGGTTCCAATTCATTGTGACCTTGTATAGGGTTTCCAAGGAGCGATTGGTGAGTTTGAACCACCGACTTTGAGGTTCAAGCTTACCTGCGGTCTAGTTAATTATCCTGCAGCACCATACCAGGACTCCATTGTGACATTAAGATAATACTTTCTGAAATCTCACTGGAGGCATTGTGTGTATGTGTGTACTAGGAGTAACTTTCTCCCTCTGAAAAGTACACATAAAAGGTGTAAGGCACCTTGCCTTGTGTTATACCTAAGTGGCTATACCTAGCTGTGTGGCGTTCCCAGATCATCAGTGAAGTTGAACCCATTTATTACAAGAGGAGTGTAAGATTTTCCTCAGCTACCTAAATCTATTGTGTGCGATCTCAAACTTTTCTGATAATTTATAAATGCTTGAAAGGAAAATGTTTATTTCTTCTCGGCATGAAGACAAACTATGGTTTCAATAATTACTCTCCAGTAGGTTTTTATTTGGGTGGGTGGGGACGCTTTGGTGATAAGACCTTTTGTGCAGAGACCTCTGCTTAAAAAAAAGGATAATGTATATGAAGGGATGTTTATCCACACTGGAGAAAGCATCAGGTAACACTTTCTTTTGATAATGATCCTTTTCCTCTTCAAGAAGCCACGAAGGTATTTTAAGCACTAAAATCTTTTAAATATCCAGTAACAACCCTTGGAAAATTCATACAAACATTCAGGTGAAAGGATTTTATGGAGATCATAACACTAGTTTTATAGTACAGTGAAACTCAGTGATTTAACTACTGTGAGTTTTCAGACATCAAAGCTGATAGTTCTTGAACGTGGTCATGTCATCCTGTCCATTTCAAACTTCCCCTTTGATCTAACACTGCTGTCCTTCATTGTTTAAATCATTTATTTTGTTGGTGTTGAAAAAATACTAATTCAACAATTTCTACATGTACAATTGTGGCATTGACAGCATTTAAGTTGTAGAATTCATGCTCACTTTCCTTTTCCAAATTGTTCCACCATTAACAGGAATTCACTGCCTCCTCCGCTTCCTACTGAACCTTTAGAGTAGCTGTTGTCAATCTGACCCCGGATTTCTAGATTCATAAAAGAGCACAATGTCCAACCAAGTTTGACCTGCTTTACTAATTAAGTTAAAATAGTGTGTGGAGTCCTGAGGTGGTGCTGTGGGTTAATGTGCCAGACTGCAAAGCCGTTTGAACTGCAAGGTCGGTGGTTCAAGCTCACCAGCTGCTCCTCAGAAACCCTATAAAGTAAAGGGTCACTATGGGTGGAACCGACTCGACGGCACTTAACGAACAACAACAACAGCAACATTGTGTGGTTCAAAGACATCATAGGGTATTTTTGGTTTCAGGTTGAAAGGTAACAGGCAAATTTTGGGGTTTCATCTAGCTTCCCTAATAACTCCAGAAAGTCTGGATTCCATGAGTATTTGGAATTGTTCTGTATTTCCCCTTTTTTGATCAGGATTCTTTTATAGAATCTTTGATCAAAATTTTCACTAATAGTAGCCAAGCCAGGCATGTAGTCCATTCTTCATTGTACAAAAATATATACCAAAAAATATCCCCCCAAAATACTCCTCCTAAAAGCATACATACCCATGCAGACCTGCCTGCCTTCTCCTCCTCCCTGGTAACTCAAACTCATGATCTCACTACCAAATATATTGTGCACTCGCAATCTGTTTTTGCTCCTTTTCCACTGTTCTCCCCCAGTTTCAGACAGCTAAAGAGTCCTGGTGTGGCACTGCAGGTAATGTGCTGGACTACAAGGTCAGTTTGAACTGCAAAGTTGGCAGTTCCAACCCAGTGAGTGAACCACTCCTTGGAAACCCTATACAGGGTCACTATGGGTCAGAACCGACTTGACGGCACTTAGCAACAACAACAAAGCGCGGTTGGACCAGCTTTTAAGAATGTAATAAACTGAGGAGTCCTATGGGGCGTTACTAGTGCTTGTATGATGGGGTACTGGCAGAATCATCTGTAGAATGATTGTTTAGGGCTTTCCCTCGAGGCAATATTTTATACTCAGAGCACTCTTGTTACATTGGAATTGTGAAAAACTATGTCTGCTAAAGCCCCTGAGCACATTTCCTTTTATTACAACTTTTCTTTCTTTTAGGGGGTACACAGTATGATCAAAATCACATTATCCTCAACACTGTCAGCAAAGAGAAGTTTACGCAAGTGTGGGAAGCCATGGTCCTATAAACGTGAATAGAGAACGCAAGGCCAATCTCTCAGAGGTCCTCCAGACGTCTTATTTGCCGATGGAAGAGCCAAGAGGGAAGATGGAGCGACTCCTTCTTCAATCACTCTAATGGTGGTCTTGACTCACACTGCCACGACCAGGGGAACTCTCATCTTCTCAAAAGACTCTAATAGTTTCAAACCAAGTATTTGTCCTTCTTTCATTTCTTGAGTTTCATTTCCTTTCAATAGCTGTTTAAATAGGTTGTCTCATGAACAGCTTTTGGGTGTCTTTTAAAAAGGTCTTATCAAAACTTCAAGACTGTACATTGTAAGTTACTTGCAGAGACAGTGACGGGAGAGAATGAACAAATTACCAACTCTGTGGACCTACAAATCCCTTATGTTTTAAAGGGAAGGATAAAAGCTTAAGTTTGTAAGGTGAAGGACGGTTTAGCTTTTGGGAAGAAATACTTTACGAGGCTCGCAACGTAGTCCTTGACGTTGCTTTTCCTAGTTGTTAATTATGCACTACAGCAAAGTGGGGGAGCCTTATGTATTCAGACATACTTAAATATAATATTAAAAATTAGCAAGTTGACAAGTCCATGTCTGATAACATTAATTCGCAGGATTGGGATTATTTTAATTCACTGTGAACTGTTCCAGAGTCACAAATGAGCGTGTAATGCCTTTCTTACAAATGCTACAGAAACAGTATTTCCATGATTTCATTATTCGCCCATTCTTACTCATCTCCACCTAGAGTGCAAACAGTGCTATGCAATCCTTTGCCAACAGGCTCAGGTCTCTTAGCCTGATTTCCTGCCTGCCTGGGTCCAGGCTTCTCCTTCAGGACTGCACGGGCTGCCTTCCCTATAGTGTTCTGTAGCCGGGCTCCTAGGCAAGACTGCCTGAGTCAGAGTGCATTGCAGCCCATAGCATCACTTAACTTCTGGTAGGGGACCTGAGGGATGCAGAAGTCAACAGAATGACCAGCATTTCCTCCAGAAAGTGAAGAAAAGTAGACGGTAAGGGATGTTTCTTGGTCAAAAATTTGAACTCTGAAAACCCTACAATGCAGCCAGTATTTCAAGAAAGAAAATAAGAAATGTTTAACTACTGACAGCCACCGGATGATGCTGTTCAAACAGTGGGTTCTAGTTTTGAACACAACTCCTAAACATCCCTTGAATACCTTCTTCCCATTTTTGTACTGATTTTGTTGTCCTCGTCACTGAATACCGGTGCTTTTGTCAAACAAGAGTGTGTCTTGTTTCCTTCCCATCTATTTGTGTTCCCAGATCTAAAATTCAGATTCTCTCTGGAGTCCAGGGCAGTCAGTTATGGCCATCAGGAATTCATCAGCGTCAGTTTCAAAAACCATTTGCACATGTACCACAGTGCCATCACGCCTGTCTTGTTCTTAGATGTATAGTTCGGATTTGTAGGACTTTTGTGTGTATCTTTACAATATGGTGGGGGAGACAGTCTACAATAGCCTATGTTGAATTATCTCTTGAATAAACTTGTTCTGATTAAGTGTATTGATGAAATCGAATAGAATCCATTCTTTCGGCCTCATAACACTTTAAAGACAGTCAGTTGGCATATTAGAAACAAATGTCTTGACTGATTAGGATGAGGCAGGTTTGAGGGGTGCTGGGTAAACAGTGAGGAAAAGTTTTGCCAGACACCCTCTTTCTGGACTCAGGGTCGGAAGGTTAAGCTCCACTTTGCTCGGGGTAGAAATGAGGGTAAATAAGGCCCCAGCTCACCCACCCTTATTGTCATCTGGAAGTCTTAAGGAAAAAGAGCTGAGATTATTCCAGATGCAAGTCAAGAGCAGCTTGTCTTTACAACTAGAAACTTTTTTTTGGGGGTGGGGGTGGGTATGTACTGCTGATATTACAGGTCACCCAACATACAACCAGATGAATGACAGGAATAAACCAAGTAGAGAGTAGCTGGAACTGAGTTCTACATCAAAGCTACACACTCGCTTTGATGGGAATGAGTACAAGAGGAAGTAACTTTAAATGAGCGAAGCTACAGAACAGAAATACCAAGTTCACACATCAGGTTGACTAGTGAGACCCTCAATGGTCAGAAATGTGAGCATGCTGATTACCTGTCATTTCCACAGCAAAGCTCTGAGAGACGCAGGTTTCAGTTTTTGAAAAGGCTCTACCTATGGAATCCTGGTGTGGCTCTGTAGGCTAAGCACTGGACTGGAAACCTCAAGGTTTCCAGGTAGGTGGTTTAAACCCACCAGTTGCTTCTTGGAAACCCTATACAGGTTTGCTATGAGTTGGAACAGATTTGATGGCATTTCAAAAACAATGGAGTACTGGTGTGGTGCTATATGATAAGCACTAGACTGCTAACTGCAAGGTTGGTGGTTCAAACCCACCAGCCACTTCTCAGAAACCCTATACAAGGTCACTATGAGTTGGAACCAACTTGACACCACCATACAAAATGTCAGAGTTTTATAAAGAATTACTAGAAACTTTAACCCGACTTTTCAATTTCAAAAGAGGAAAACAACTGAATCATTGGCCAGGTTTTATATACACACACACACACACACACACACACATTATTAGGAGCTCTGGTAGCATAGTGGTGATCAATCAATCAGCAGTTCGAAAATACCAGCTGTTCGCAGGAGAAAGATGAGGCTTTCTGCTCCCATAAAGATTTACAGCCTCGGAAACCCTGTACAGGGTTAGCTATAAGTCGGAACCGACTCCACGGTACATAGCAACAAAAACAACATATATATGACTCCAATAGATTCTGAACTTTTAAGACTGTTTTTACCACTTTGGAGCTTGGTATGTCACTGTAGGATCAGCACTGGACTACAAACCACAAGGTCAGCAGTTCAAACCCACCAGCTGCTCCTCAGAAACCCTATATAGGGTAGCTATAAATTGGAACCAACTTGATGCCACTTAACAACATCACCACTTTAGAGAGGAAAACAAAGGCAAAAGGAAACACTGGCTGTTTAGGAGAGTGCCTGTTGATTAATTCAAGACAGAAGTAGTTTAAAATGAGCTCTTAACACACCATCTGTCCATACTCCTGAAGTTTTAGTGTCTTACAAACATTAAGAGAATTTTTGAGTTTGAACTACTAGAAGAGAAAATTGCAAAGCTCTTGTGAAAAAAAGAAGCAAGTTGCAAAGCTGGTATGAAAGAATAGTATATAAAAAATTAACTCTTTGATAAGTAAGCACTGTTGTTAAATGCCTGTGAGTCGGTTCCAACTCATAGCGACCCTGTATAGGGCTGCCAAGGAATGGCTGGTGGGTTTGAACCACCGACCTTGTGGTTCACATTCCAGTGCTACTACTCTAGCAGCACACTGGCTATGTCATACTGTGTCTCATACCTGTGTATCCTTGTGCTTGGCACAGAGGATCTCTCAACACCTGTGAATGCATGGATGTGTCAGGGGCAGAGGTTACACCAAAAAAGACTTTGGGTGGTGCAGGGTGACAATGAGATGTGGCTTTAAGATCAATCACTGATCAGATGAGATCATTATTAGCAAAAACGTGGGATTTTTTTAAATTACAGAATTCACAGTCTAATCTCAAAAAAAATGTTTTGAAAAGGACAGCTAGAGAAAAAGTCTGCACCCACAGACAAAATAAGACAGCCAGCAGTCACTGAAGTTTGTATTTATTTAAATGACATTAATCACGGTCTTTCCTCGTGCATGTCCTCCTTCTACCTTTAGGAAGGCCTCTGGAACTTTAGAAAAAGGAAAGGTTTGTTCAATTACTGGTTGAATCTGTAAAACACAAGACAAGGTTGACAGTAGGTAAGAGCATTCATCTTTTCAAGGCAAATAACTTGTGGAATTTGTTTCATCAAAATGACTCTCAAGGTGCATCTCTCAGGTCTCTTTCTAATGCACCTAGGTCACGAGCTCACTGCTGTACCCGCTCCTGTCTTCCCTTTTACTCTAATTCAGGTGTGGGGAACGCTTGTTCTTCCAAAACTAACACCATTAATCGTGGGCCATACAAAATGATCAGCTTAGAAATAGGCCTACTATATGTTGTGAGTGATTTAAACCTAAAGGTCTCAGACTTAGGAGCAGTTTTTAGCCAAAGGACTGCAACTAAACAGTTGTGGTACAGAAAATCGGGCTGCTCCCAGGTCAGGCTGCCCCCTGAGGAACTTGCAAAGCCTGCCTCAGGGAACAAGGAACTTGCAAAGTCTTTCCTTGTATGCAGCCATGGCCTTCAGTCAAGTCTGAAAAAACATCTTGCTTGCTCTATCTCTGTTTCCCTAGCAACTACATTCTTCTCATAAAGTCCCACTTACTGCTTGCATCTATACACCAAAAGTTGTTTTTTTTTTTTTGGCAATCTTTTCCCTGCCCCCAGCTCTCTCCTTTGATTTGTGTATATAATAAATGAGCTGAATGTAGGACGGTGTCCCACCTGGTCCCGACTATTTAAGTCTCATTTTGTGTCTCTCTTTTTCCTAATCTCCCGTCGCCCCCTACTCGGGTTTAATCTCTCCGTGCGGGTCACGGAGTATAGCCACTTGTCGGACTCGGGAACTACATTTGGTCAAACATTTCATTAACTCACCCCTAAGCAGTTCGAGGAAGACGAGGCTTTCTGCTCCCGTAAAGATTTACAGCCTCGGAAACCCTGTACAGGGTCACTATGAGTCAGAACCGACTCCACAGCACATCACCACCACCACCACAACCACCAATGTGATGGAGGAGTCCTGGCATGGCACTGCGGGTTAATGCACTGGAATGCAAAGTCGGTTTGAACCACAGGGTCAGCGGTTCAAGCTGACCAGCTGCTCCTTGTAAACCCCATGCAGGGTTGCTATGGGTTGTAACCTAATCAACAGCACTTAATAACAACAATTGTGGTTGCCTGGGCCTTATACAGCCCGCGGGCTGGACATTTCCCCCCTGCTCTAATGTATCACAGATGGATCAAAGCGCAATCCGACTTCTGCTCTCACTTTCCCACTCACCGAAAAACGAAACGTGCCCTTCAGTAGCTCCCACCACCCCTGGCACTGAAAGACCACCACCATGCAGCCTCAGTCCTCCTGTGGACCCTTCGCTTTTCACTCTAACTATGTTCTGCTTGCAGTCCAGAAACCCCTTCTCTGAGAACTGTTCGGTGCTTTCTATCTGGGTCTCACACTACCTTTCTTTACCCCTCCAGCACTGCACTACGCTCTCCCTATGTACTACTGGGGACCCACGTGGCCCTCACCACACACTGCACTTGTTGCAGCTGACTACCTGTCTTAACCACCCTGTTGTGTGTGGTACAGACCAAAGGGGACGTCCCAAGGGCCTTGAGATATGTAGCTGTTTGCTGCTGCTGTTAAGTGTTTGGCATATCTACTCCAGCAGCTAGAAGCACCTGTGCAAAGGCCATCTCCTTTGTATCCCTCATAACACGCAGCACAATGCTAGGCATGTTGTTGTTGTGAGCTGCCCTTGAGTAAGCTCCCGACTCATGGCGACCCCATGCATGTAGACAGGGCCTTAAATATCACTCAGGAGAAAAGCAATAAGAGAGATAGTAAGGAAGCAAGAGCCTCACCTGGGCTTTGGGGAACTTGTACCAGGATGTCCCAGCCAGCTTGTAAACAAACCCCAGTGCTGCTGTTGTTTTTATCGCAACATTAATAAGAGCTCTGGTAGCGTAGTGGTTATGAATCGGGCTGCGAACCACAAGGTCAGCAGTTCGAAACTACCAGCTGTTCCGTGGGAGAAAGATGAGGCTTTCTGCTCCTGTAAAGATTTACAACCTCGGAAATCGTGTACCGGGTCCCTATGAGTCAGAACCAACTCCATGGCACATAACAACAACAATACAGCCAGCAAGGAGCCCTGGTGGCATAATTGTTAAGTGCTCGACTACTAACGAGGTTGGTGGTTTGAACCCAGCAGCTGCTCTGCGGGAGAAGGATGTGGCAGTCTATTACCGTACCGATTACAGCCTGGGCGACCTGATGGCGCACTTCCACTCAGTCCTGTAGTGCCACTGTGAGTCTGAACGGACTCAGCAACAGCAACTGCCAGCAGCCGCCCTGGAAATGAGGCCCCGCTTAGCACCCCTCTCCCCTTACAAAACTCCAACGGAATTCTTTTTTTTTAAACTGCAAGCCAAAATCAAGACTTACACATTTGGAAATTGCAGTTCACCTGGCACGCATAAGCTGTCAGAAAGCATAAACCAAAACTCATACATTTTTATGAGCTCTTTTCCAAAAGGAAGGAGTATGTATGTAAGTATGAAACTTTGTTCCTGGGGTTCACCTTCCTTGTGTGAAATTCACAGTCCCCAGCACTAAAGGAGTGCCAACCAATCACAATGACACCAGCAATGCTGTCCTAACTGTGTGCCCGACTTTATAATTTTACCTTGTGTAATCTCCATAGCCGCCTCATACATAGGCACTAGGATTCATGCCCATTTAGCAGATGAAAAAACGAAGGCAGAGAGGCACAACTGCTAGGTGGTGAAGTGGGGCTCCATCTGATGCCATCTGTGCTCTCCCCACTATACACAGAGCCTGTGGTGTGTCTCCTGCTGCTCCCCACACCTCCCCTGCAGAGTCTGAGCAGGAAGAGAGGACAGCTAAGGCTGATAATGATTTCTCACAGTCTGCATCTCATCACAAGGTCTTCACCAAGACAACACTCTCATCTGCATCCAAGGACTAACAAACCGATTAATAAATGCGAAAAGCATGGTCCTTCACACAAAACAAAACAATAAAACAAACTCACTGTCACTGAGTGGATTCCAACTCAGAGCGACCTTGTGTAGAGTTTAAGACTGTCAGTCTTTATGAGAGCAGACAGCTTCATCTTTTCCCACCAAGTGGCTGGTGGGTTTGAACCACTGACCTTATGGTTAGCAGCCCAACACCTAACCCATAGTGCCACTAGGGCTTATTAGCAAGGTGAGCAGGACGGCAGAGTCTTCCTTGGCATCTGCTCTGAGATAGGCTGCTCGGCAGATGAGCACTGCGTGCCTTCTCTGGCGGGAGAACAGATGCATTACAAGTTCTTTCCTGTGTGTGTCCCACAGGAAATCTTTGAACCCTCTGGCTTTCTGGATGCTCTATTACCTGAAAGGGCCTGCTGAAAATGCGCAGCCTTAGGTCCTCCTTTCCCCCAAACCAAACCCACTGACACTGAGTCAATTCCGACTCATAGTGACCCTGTATAGGGTTTTTGGAGGCTTAAATCTATGTGGGAGTCCATGGAGCAGCTAACCTTATAGTTAGCAGTTCAGAGTATGTCCTCAGCAGCCCCAGGACTCCTCAAGTCCCCTGTTAGAACAGCTAAATCACACCTCCCAGGATAGGGTGGAAACAGTGCCTTATACAGGAGCTTCCACGTGATTTTCATGCACCCTGAAGTGGGTTCACTGCAGCCTTTTGTCTTGTTCCTGGGGTCCCTGACTTGTGTCACATACACATCCATTCATTCTACCTTCCACCTGCCAGTAGGCACTATGCCAAGAGCAGGAACACAAACAAGCACCTGTGAAAGACATCAAGAAAAGAAAGGCCACCACATGGACTCGTCAGGGAACATGTGACACCAGTAACAAAGCAACACAGCAGTGGTGCTAACTGGTCACAAAGGAGCCCTGAATCCACCACACAACTCCAGAAGGGACGACCTCAGCTCACCTGGCTATGTTAACACAAAACCTCGGACAGAGACGCAGATCCTGATGACACAGGAAGCTTGGTGACTGAGCGCAGTAATCTGGCTGCTCGAGCCTATTGTGGTAACTAGGGGGCTGAGTTCCTCCCATAAGTGACAATAGAAAAACAAAACAAGGCTTTGAATTTTTGAATTAATAGGCAAGCAAATGTCACTGTTGGCTGACTATGCAACAACAAATGGAGATTCAATGGATGACGAGACAGTGTCTACATACAGCCTCACACCAAGCCTAGATGTTTGCTTGTTCAGGACACAAGAGGACAAGGAAAGGTATGTGCTGACACGGTGACAGTCCACCTGGTACACGAAGCCTGGGCAAAGCGGGGCTCAACACCACACGTCCTGCTACACAGACACCGGGGTGAGTGGAAGACCCCCATAGCAGCAGCCCTCATAGAATATGTGTATACAAATAAACACTCACAAAGATACAGGTGTACAAAGACAAAATTCCTTCCCATACTTGATCCCTAGCCAGCCGTTTCCCCTCCTCAGGGGCAATCAACATTTCAAGTTCCCTGCATATGCTTGTGAGATAGTTTTTGCATGGTGGTAAGTAGAATAAGGGCCCCAATCCACAGCCTAAAGGGCTCAAACATAGCAACCATTGTGAGGCTGGCCCAGGGTCAGGCAGTATGTAGTTTTATTGCATACAGAATGAGCTGGAACCGAAACAGTTCCAAACACAACAGCAATAATCCCTGTGATATTACCTTATGTGGCAAAAGGATCTAGTAGAGGTGAGTAAAGATGCTGAGATGGGAAGACGGTCCTTGTAAGAGGGAAGTAAGTACAGAGGGTGTGCCTATGAAAGCTGAGGTCACAGCAATGTGGGGCTGTGAGTCACAGAATGCAGGCAACCTCAGCGTCTCCCTTAGAGCCTCAGCAAGAACAGTCCGGCCAACCCAGTTTGGATGGCTCAGCTCCAGAACTGGGAAAGACTAAAACTGTGCTTTTAAGCCACTACATTTGTGGTTATAGCAGCAGCAGGAAACTAATACATGCACATAAGGGATCTTCAAAAAGCTAGCAGAAAAATGGAATTAAAACAGAATCTTTATACAAATGTTTTGATATTCACCTGGTACATAAGCAAATATATTTAAATATTTTCCTCCAGGGCAGATTCATTATCAATAGCTGATTATGGTCTGAAGAATCTGCCTGTTCCCCTACTCTCAGTCCTGAAAGGTACTAAATTGTAGACGAAGAGAATGCTGTAGAAACAGTAATGTTAAAAATGAAAGTTTCTATAAAATGAAAATTTTATTCAGATTCAAAGTTTAAAATATTAGGACACCAAAATGGACATTCAAAATGACATTTCAAAGAGGGAGTATAAGTACACATCTTTTATCAGAACTTTGCACGGGATGAAAAAAGAGTATGAGGGTACATTTAATTGGTTGACATTCAACTTGCTTTGTAATACTCATTTATCACGAATTTCTATCGGCTGGAGTATTCAGCCTTAGCCAGTGTTCCTGAGTTGATTCCTGTAGCAATCTGGGTGGACCACTTCAAAATGTAGCAGAACAAGTTATCTTGGCCAAGAGTGGCCATGGGTCACATACTGTAAAAAGCAGAAGCAGGGGCCTAGGACAAAATGGAGTCCAATTCAGCCCTGTGTCGGCCATTTTAACTGTGTCAAACACCTCAGTTTTAGTGTGGTCTTTCTCAAATAGAATACCAGAAATCCAAGTTGTGTTGGAGATGACTATTTTACTCAAGTAAGCAGAAACAGTGTAGTCTTTGTGGGGGATGTATTACTTAATCATTACCACCTCTACCCATATCCTGCTTTTTTGTCACATTTGAAGATACTGAGGGAGGCCCTAACAGATAAATGACTTGCTCAAGGTCACACAGCTAAGCAGGGCCCAGGTCTTCTAACCCCTAGGACATTTCCTTCCACCTTTCTTTAAGATCAACTTCCACAGACCCGGAGCCCTTCCCTATCAAATAACCCTGGTCAGGAGAGGGATCAATCACTCACCCTCATCCAAGGGCACTTCCAGACATTTTTATTTCTTTCGTGTCCTCTGCTAACCATTCTACTAGCTATCTGCCAAAATGAATAGGTAGCTATATACAAGCCACCTTTCTTCTTTGTTGAGTAAATAGTCATTTCCAGGTAGAGAGAGAGTCACACTATTTTGAATACAAAAGAGCAATGATAAGCATGTGGACAGCCTGGAACAGATGTGAAGATAAGCACAATCCTTTGGTGTACTTACTTCAGGAGGACAGACCTCACTAATTATGGGGTAGTGAGTCATGGGGGCACAAGGGGTTAAGCACCGGGATGCTAACTGCAAGGTTGGAGGTTTAAACCCATCAGCCACGGCATGGGAGAAAAATGAAACTGTCTGCTCCCATAAAGATTTACAGGCTTGGAAGCCCTAGGGAGCAGATCTACTCTATCCTATGGGGTCACTCTGAGTCTGAATAGACTCCACAGCAGTGGTGAGCACACAAAGCACTTTATATAGAAATATGTGCCAGATCACTTGATGATAGTTCATTCCTGCTTCCTGAAAATAGTTCCTGATACTTCCCAATGATAGTTCATTCATTCCTTCTTCCCAGTGGCACTTACTTATACCGCTCTCTTCTGTACTGTGCACATCAACAGTCACAGGAGGTCTGACAAAAGGCATGCAAACCCAGGACCAAACAAATCGGGAGCTAGTAACAGACAATCCTTTATTACGTAGTTATGCCTCTATAATGGAAAAATACACTCGATGCACAAAACTAAGCCAGTTTTCCTAAAAATGTCCTTTCCAGAAACTGAAATAGCAAGATGAGATGGGCCAGCCAGGGACAGGTGCTAACAGAAGAAAGCCCCCCTCCAGGGCTCCTGCTCAGCGCCCTAGCACGGCTCATACGATGGCAGCAACTACGGCGCTGCTCCAGCCCTTTCCCTGCCTGCCGCACGATGGCAAGAATAAAACAACTGAAACAAGAGTCTGAAATCAGCTGCAAGCACTAGGGATGCAGCTGAGTGTGGAGAGGGAGAGGCACACGACTGGAATCAAGCGCCCAATTCCGCAAACCTGAGCACGTCCCTTTGAGAGCCAAGTTTCTCATCTGTAAAATGAGAATCAGGTGGGATGATGTCAAGCACTCCTCTGAGATAGGTAAGGTTCCCCACCCTATGTTGTTGTTGCTGTTAAGTGCCGCTGAGTCAGTTCTGACCCATAGCGACCCTGAACAGGGTTTCTGAGGCTGTAAATCTTTACGGGAGCAGAAAGCCTCCTCTTTCTCCCGCGGAGCAGCTGGTAGTTTCGAACTGCTGACCTTGCGGTTTGCAGTTCGATTCATAACCACTGCACTACCAGAGCTCCTTTCCCCACCCTATAATCCTATATAATTGCTCAATAAAGTCAAACGCTTTAGTGACAGACAGTTCACCATCTAGGTTATTCTTCCAGAGGTGGAATGTCAGAGCACCAGGTAAGAACATAAATAAAACAGAGGCATTTGACGAGTTGCTCAACCCAAAAAGAAATGGCATGGCTATAAACGACCACTTTTTCACCACGTAGTCCACTGAAGGACATAAAGGAGTAGTCAAAGAATACCAACCAGTTGACTCCACCAAAATCCCTGTCAATCCTTACCCATTAACCCTCGTAAACAGACCACTTACTTACCTTTAATACACTAACCTGGGGGAATGGGAGACTTTCTGGTCCCACCTCTGTTGTGGTTTTGATTCTATAGTGTTTGTCCCCCTCACTCATGTGGAAATCTGCTACCTCCAGAGCAGCCTCACCTCTGACTCTGAGCTCCAGAAGCTACTAAACACTCGCAGCTTTCCCACCGTTGTAAGCAGAGATCTTTGTGGTAGAGCCTTCCTCTTTCAAGGTCAATACCAAAATATTAGCAACTAGCTCTTGATCTGAGCTCTGCCATCTTCTAACTGGGAGTCTCTGGGAACACCGTCTAAAGTGTATGCCTGCCTCTACATTTACAAACCAAGACGGGTGGACCAGATGGTATAAGCTCTTTTTCATATGTAGTAGAGTCTGTGTCTATGGTTCCTATGAAAAAGAACCAAAAATACAGTACTTAAATTAGGCCACATAAGGCAGCTACATACTGGATGAGCCTGCCTCTGAGAGCTTCCACACACTAAGGCTGGGGGGGCAAGCCACAGAGCACTAAAAGGATGTGCTAACAACACAAAGGGTTGCACTCACCTTTCCGCCATCCACCAGTTCTGCAATGCTGTCTAGACATGGACCACTGGCCATGAAAAACGCCCAGCGATAATGGACTCCTTGCCAGAAATGCTAAAAAGAAGGAAAAAAACAAATGTGGTAAAGGAAAAGGCATTTTCTGCATGACTGAAACAGAAAAGCAATTCTCCATTTCATATTGGTGCCTACAACTTAGCACATGACCAACAGAGAGCGAGTGGCCACAAATGTTTAATAAATAAATGAATGAGCAAAGACAGCAAGGGTAGGTCAAAAAATGATGGTGGTGGTGGTGTGCCGTGGAGTCGGTTCCGACTCACAGCAACCCTGTACAGGGTTTCTGAGGCTGTAAATCTTTATGGGAGCAGAAAGTTTCTTCCGCCCACAGAACCACTGGTAGTTTTGAATTGCTGACCGTGAGATTAGCAGCCTGACTCAAAACAAAAACTTTATTAATAATGCACTCTTCATTTTATACTGTGATAAAACAGCAGTTTGGGCATCCTCAGGGGACTTAAAATGGTGTACCTTTTCAATGTTCTTTGAATTTCGAGAACAAAAAGATGTCTGAAGGGGCAAGACCAGGGTGGATGGAATAAGATTTCTCAATGAAATCTTCATAGGACGGCCCTTGCTCCCTCAAAAAATAAGCAAGTGCACTGTTGTGACAGAAAAAGTTCCTCAGCTTGAAAGGACAAGAAGACCAGCCTGGAGCAGCTAGAAGAACAAAAGATACTTCTTGAAAGAAAGACCGACAGGAAAAATGCAAAACAATAACGGCAGTCCGACTGACTACTACAAGAACAAGAAAGTTGCTCGCCCAGGAGACATCAAGGCAAGTGGTTGGATCCCCTCAGGGCAAACCCCCTTCCAAGACTAATACTCAATGGGAATACACGAGCAGACATGTGCTCTGACTAGTGACCACATTGGACACCGATAAGGTGAACTCAGGGAAAAACAGCAATGAAGCTGCAAGCTAAGCCCTACCACATTCAATGCATTCCTGTGGAGACCTGGTTCGCCAGCAGTGTGGCAAGACCTGGGGACTCTTAGGCCCAGAGTCAGTGACATAGCCACAGAGGACTAGAGTGGAGAATGAAGTGTCCAGCTGATAAGAAGAGAGGGCATATGCACAAGAACACCCACACTTGCAGATAATACCCACTTGAACTAGCTTCAATGACTGGATGATCAGAGCTCAACTAGAAGAAGAAAGAAGAGGAAAAAAAAGAGTAATCTGATACAATTTGATGAACTTGACCTAAACCTATGGATGCAGTAGCTCAAAAGAAGGAACAAATCTTTACAGTGAGGATTATTCTCATCCCCTCCACACAAAGGGTAGACAGGGATGGGCAACTTGGACATTGGCTACCCAAAATGGGGGGCTACAAAGGCAAGAAGTGACTGCTTACAAGTTTTCAAAGTGGGGGCTAGTTTCAGAGGGCGGGGAGGAAGGAAGAATCTCCACTGAGCAGAATCCAATCTGTCTGGGCGACACTGATGAAAGGAGCTTGGGATAGCACTCATGTGGTACAATAGTGAATAATTGTTATCAGGACTGACTGTGAGGGTTGGAAATGTAAAGGTAGACATTTTGTAGCAAATGGAGGAGAGTGGTTGACTTTGCAGTCCAGGAGTGGAGGTCCCTGAGACCATCAAGGGAGGAGAGTGGAGTGTGCGACCCTACCCAGAAAAACAGTTATGCCAGAGATGGAGGCAGAGACAATGACATGGAGAGATGGAGCGGCTGGGGACTCTAGCCCAAATAGGGAGAGGGGCTGTGTGCTGACAACCGGGGGGCAGGCTTGCAGGGTATATACCCTTTGGTTGGTTGATGATGCATGGAGGGGATTGTCACCATGGCAATGTAACGATATACGATAGGATGAATGTAAAGCTAATGTTCTCCTATGTGAACTATCACATAATTCACCATAAAACTTTTAAAAACCAAAAGAAAAAGTTTCTCAGTGCAATTTTCCTGGCCTTGTTCTCATCACTGTATTAGGGCTGGAGGGGAGTGAGGGGAGATGGAGGAACAATATTAGATCAATTATGATGCATGGCATGGAGGCTCTGTAAGATAAGCATTGTTCTGGGAACCAGAAGGTTAGTGGTCTAAGTCCACCAGCTACTCTGTGGAGAAAGATAAGGCTTTCTGCTCCACAAAGATTTACAGCCTTGGAAACCTTATACAGGGTTGCTTTGAGTCAGAACTGACTGAATAGCATTTAAGAAGAATTTTCCCCAGTGATTGTCCTGTGTCCTTTGAGAAAATCTATCAAGATTACCCCTAAGGAATCCCCAAAACACAGTCATCATAAGTTTCTGAGCTGACCTCTGTGCCTTGAATTAACTGACCTAGCAGATCCCATGGGAAGTCACTGTGTTGATTGCACCCTTTTTTGAAGGCATCCCAATGCATTGTTGTTAGGTGCTATCGAGTTGATTCCAACTCTAGCAACCTTATGCACAACACAATGAAACACAGACTGGTCCTGCACCATCCTCACAATCGTTGTTAAGCTTGAGCGCATTGCTGCTGCCACTGTGCCAATCTATCTTGTTGGGGGTCTTCCTCTTTTTCACTGACCCTCCACTTTACCAAGCATGATGTTCTTCTCCAGGGACTGTTTCCTCCTGATACTATGTCCAAAGATGCAGTCACATTATTGTGGCTCCTAAGGAGTATTCTTCTAACCCAGATTTGTTTGTTCTTCTGGCAGTCTATGGTACTTTTAATACTCATCTCCAACACAATAACTCAAATGCATCAATTCTTCTATGGTCTTCTTGAATCATTGTGCAACATTCACATGCATATGAAGCTGCTAAAACTGCAGCAGCTAGAGTACCTTAGTCCTAAAACTGACATCTTTGCTCTTGAACTCCTTAAAGAGGTCTTCTGCAGCAGATTTCTCTAATGGAAGACATCATTTGGTTTCTTGACTGCTGATTCTATGTGTATTGATAATGGATCTAAGCCAACTTCAATCTTTTTTATGTTATCATGAGGTTATTTATTGGTCCAGTGGTCAGGATTCTGGTTTTTTGTTTTGTTTTTTTTTTTTTCACTGAGGTGCAACATATACTGAAGGCTGTGGTCTCTGATCTTAATCAGTAAATATATTGAGTCTTCTTCACTTTCAGCAAGCAAGGCTGTATCATCTGTATATCTGTTATTGTTGTTGTTAGGTGCCATTGAGTCAGCACCGACTCATAGAGACCTTATGCACAGCAGAACGAAACACTGCCTGGTCCTGGGTCAACCTCACTACTGTTGCCATGCTTGATTCCATCAATGCTGCCACTTGCCAATCCATCTCGTTGAGGGTCTTCCTCTTTTTCTCTGACCCTCCACCTTACCAAACATGATATCCTTCTCCAGCGACTGGTCCCTCATGACAATATGATATAGCAGGTTGTTAATGAGTCTTTCTCCAGTCCAAATGCCACATTCTTCTTCATATAATCCAGCTTCTCAGATTATTTTTTTAGCAGATAGATGAACTAAGTATGGTGAAAGAATACAACTCTGGCACACATTTTCTAATTTTAAACCATTCAGTGTCTCATTGTTCTATTCTAATGACTGCCTCTAGGTCTATGTTCAGGCTCCTCATGAGCACAGTCAAGTGTTCCCAATACCCATTCTCTGCAATGTTGTCCATAGCTTGTCATAGCCCACTTAGTTGAAAGCGTCTGCATAGTCACTAAAGCACAGGTTTATACATCTTTCTGGTATTCTCTGCTTTCAGCAAAGATCCGTCTGACGTCAGCAACAATATCCATTGTTCTACATCCTCATCCAAATCCAGCTTGAACCTCTGGC